CAGCACCCTAGCCGCCGCTGCCCTAGCTCGCCGCCGCCGCTAGCCGTCACCCCTCGCCGTCGTCATCTTGGTCGTCGCCGTCGTCTTCTCCGGTGAGCTCTCCTCTCTCCCATGTCATTTACCGGTGTAGTTTATCCCTAGGGACTTAATCCAATTTAATCTAATCTTATTTGGCCCTAGCGTCGAGCCGGTCATTGCCGTGCACCGCACCCGCTGTTGTCCGCTGCTAGCCGCCGCGTAGCCGCTGCCCTAGTGCACGTACTGCAGTCGCCGCGCCGCTGTCGTGCATCGCTACCGCTGCCGCGTTCCTGGCTTAGCAGAGCCATTGCTACCGCTCGGTAGCCGTCTTGCTAAGTCGTTGTTGAGTCGCTGCCGCTGCTGCGCCTTGCTGTCGTGCTGTGCCGTCGCTGCTGTGCCGTGTTGTAGCCGTGTGCCGCTTAAACCTAGCCGCCGCTTTATCCCGTTGCTCAGTAGTCGAGTTATCTAGCCGTAGGCAAGGTTGTCAAGATCGGGATACTATGTAGTATCGTTTTGCTCAAAGTAATATCGTACCGTAAGATCGTATCGTAGTATCGAGATACTATGATATTTTCTTTTTTTAAGTTTAATTAATATTTATATTAATTATATATATAGCCATTCTATATAAAAAATGTAGTAATGATATATGTCATGCAAATAGAGATATTTATCAAGAGAAACCACGCTGGTTTTGATATATTTAACTGAATTTTATATAAATTTGAGCATATTTATTTACATTATTTTCAAACCATGTTATTTTAAATAATATTTTGTAGTATCGTAGGGATCGTAGAATCGGGATACCACCTAAGATTTCGTAGGATCGTGTAGTAATGAATAGTAGGATCAAGATACTATAAAAATTAGGATACTAGGTGGGATCGGTATCGTTTCGGCTTAGTAGGATCGTAGTATCGTAAGATACTTGGATACGAATCGGGATACTGACAACCTTGGCCATAGGTGCAACTCTAGGTTCCTACCGGCCTATCGTTTGCCGTATCGGGGCTTTATCGTGAATCGTTTCTAGCCCACCGGTTTAGCCGCAGCCGTTGTTGAGTCGTTCGCTCGTTCGTTGGAACGAGGTGTTCCCCGTGCTTCGTTCGTTCATCCGTGTGGAGTCGTCCTTTAGTTTAGAGCTGTTCAGAGCCACCGGTTCCGTTCGCCGGTTTCGGTTGATCATTTGGGTGATCCCGTGTCACGTAGAATTGACTCGTTGAGTCGGTATCTCATGAGGCCCGCTTGCCAGATCAATCCAAGCCATCCAATCTTCGTCGACTCGGTCAAGATTAATCTCAGCAATCCAAAATTGATATAAATCCGTTCTCTTTTTTCAATGGCATATTATTCCTTTTTAATATATGTCATCTACCAAATATGATCTAATCTTTTCCGGAGGTTGCTTTAATCTTTTATCTCCATTATAAATCATTTGTAAATGATTTAATTAATTTGGAATAGTCTTTTCTTTAATAGGTTTAATTGGAATTAAATCTTGTAAAATTTGTAATTAATTCATATGAAGTTGGAATGAGGCAGTTCAAGTCTCATAATTCATCTAAAATCATGATCTACATGCTTGTTTACTTTTCATGTACTGTTTATTTGGTTTTTATTAGTCTTTTTCTCCGTTTTGCGTGTTAGCTTGTCGTTTCCGTCGTTACGAAGGTTCGCGAGTGCGCCGGAAGCATTCAAGAAGATTAATTGAAGAACAATTATTGCAAGGCAAGTCACACAGATCCCAAACACAATTCCTTTGAGCATGTTGATTCTATATTTAAATTCTCTATTTATTTTAACTGTGCATTTATTTTCGAATGTCACCGGGTGGTGAGCCTTTCCCATTTAATTATGGCCGAAGATGACTTTATTTTCCTATGGGTTATAATTTGATTAGCTAGAACCTTATATATTGGTTTGATCCAGCAAATGTTATATATATATAATTGCTTAGCCATGCTTAGAAACATTAGCTCATTAATGGGATAAATCATGCTTCACTATTACTTATGGTTATATTTAATGGTAGCTCACGATGGTTAATCGTGTTATGTTAATTAATTGATAATTAAAACTTGTCAATGGTGGGTTGTGAGCACATGGTTTTGATGGTCGTGCTTATGGCAATTAAGGACCGGTTCGCGAGCTACTGTTGTGAGACATTAACCGTACCAACCACAAGCCAGCGTGGGCAACGGCTTTACCTTTTGTATAGCATGGTTCATTACGGGGTGTCAGACTGTGAAGCGGCGAGAAGTCCGTGGGGGTCGCTGGGGAGTCCATGCCTTTGGTTATTGAGGGGGTGATTATGATCCAGGAACGGTGCACTGTGGTGAGTTGTGTTGTGCAGAGGGTATTGTCACAGCCTCTATTCGGATACTTTCTAGTATCCGCGACGCATAGTAGACATGATGTTTAGGCTGTGTCTTGTGGGTACAGTGGTACACCTCTGGCCAGAGTAAAACTATTCGAATAGCCGTGCCTGCGGTCATGGGTGGGTTGAGCAATGTTTTTCGTGATTAGTCTCACATCTCTCACAATAATTATTGATGCTATAAATGGTAATAAATTGCTTAGCTCCTGGTTTGGAGTTAGATCTGTACAGCCAGGTATGGTTGTTCAGGATGGTTGGGCCTGAGCAGTATGGGTGTGCTATTCAGTGTTTATTAAAAATGATTAATTACTCTACTGTTTTACTATTCTTAAATATTTGCTAAATGCTGCTTTTGCAAATGAGCCTATATTATGCCATCCTTTGGTATTCTTGTGCACTTGCATATTTGCTGTGTGGTTTGTTGAGTATGTCATATGCTCATTCTTGCAATAATCAATCAACCTCAGTTGAAGAAAAAGGATCCAGAAGGAGAAGACGTTTGGTTTATACCCCAGTTGAGCTGCCTGTGGGAGTGGAGCTAAAGCCATCGCTAGACGTTTGGTTTATACAATTTCTAAGTATGTAACGTTATTATTATGATGGATTTGTATATTAAATTGTCAGTTTGTGTAGCTCGGCTGATTCCTGGACGAGGGTTTTATGCACAAATAAGTTCGGAAATTACTAGTGAATTTCTGGGCGTGACATCCGCCGAGTGTATTATTGATCGTATGATCTGAGAGTAGAATCTCGTACCCCAAGAGGCACCCGGACCCCTCCTTATATAGGAGAAGGAGTCCGTATTACAAAATACAGCCCATATCTCTAACGGAATATGTAGTTACAGATATGACCTAATCGTAACCGACTAGGATCCCGGGTACTTCCTTAACACACAAGTTTGGAACTTAACCCGGGCCTCATTAAAGATATTCTATCTATACATGGCTCCCTATACCCAATCGGATTATACATGCCGTGTAGGTATGGGGTATCCATAATCTCCACAGGTGGCCAGCAGCAGTGCGGTGTCCACCGCCAGCATGAGGTGGCCCTGCGCCATGAGCGAGACGAACACGAAGTGCGCCACCGCCATCGATGCAGATAGTTCGTGTTCTCGCTGGCGATGTATTTCTATTGCTTGTGCAGATAGCTGCTGATCCATCCATATGTGTGTGTGCGTGCTTTAAAGAGAGAGACGTGACGGCCGGTGATGTGTTCGATCGTTTGTTTCCAGATGCCGGCGCGCGCCCCCGCCGTTGCTGCCGATGGAGCTAGCAGCGACGACGTCCTCGATCTCGTGTAGCCGCTGCTCGGCCTCGGCCGGTGGTGTCCCACGTCTCGTCGAGCACCACCCTCGCCTTGCCGCGCCGCCCCTTCATCGCCAGCCACTGCCACGACGGCGTGGATGGTTCGCAGGGCGTCGTGGAAGCGGGAGGTGCGGTCGAGGCCGTTGCGGACGAGCTGGAAGGAGGGGATAGAGAGAGAAGAGAGATAGGAGAGCTGACACGTGGGTCCAAGGGCATTTTTGACATTTCACGTGATTTCTCTCCCCCTCTTCAACCGAAAATTATTATTTTAATCGGCGTAGTGTCCACTGTCAAATTACCACATTTATGGAGTTTTTCCCCCAAAAGTGAGTTTGGGCAATGTACTAGGGCTAAAACCGCATATAAGCAGTGTCCTGTAGCAAAATTTGCCTAAATTGGGCAAATTTTGGCAATGCATAGGCTCAAATTGGTAGTAAATTGGTAGTGTCATCCGCCGGAAGTGCCCAGAAGCAGGCCACACAACTAACATTGTGCTTATTTACGCTACGTAATTGTCGTGATGAGCAAAATGAACCTAATTATGTATATTTCTTATCATCTTATTTGTGCTTATTCTGCAACAAATAGTACCAAAGCTATTACAACAAAAAAAAAATGGTAACCCTTGGTTGGTACATATCCAAATAGAAATTGACCCACAAAAAATTGGCACTTCATTGACGGTTTGACACTAATCCTAACATTCACATTTACTATGCTACCCTATCAAAATCTTGGTAGTACCCAAAGTTACCTAGATTTTGGCACTACTAAAATTTTGGTAAGGTACCAAAACAAATAAGCCCATAGTTCTCACTAAAGTGCTGAATTGGGCTTAGGAACAGTTATGGGCTTTCGACCCACTACATAATTTTTTTATTTCCTATTCCATTTTCTCACTCAGATGCCTGCTAAATTTGCCATAAATGTTACTACCCTTTTACCTAATATTTGTAGATATTATTACTGCCATAACATTATTTATAAGAATTCTTGTACTATTTATAAAGTACTCCTATTTAGGAGTAATTACTAATACCGCTCTAATTTGATGGTCTATTCTATACTCCTTTTTATCTCCCGGAAAGAGACAGAATGGGAACCATACTTAAATAAATAAATTATCTTCAGCGTCAAAAAGGAACAAAAAAAAGTGTTCTTCCAACCTTAGAACGTGACAAAGACAACGAAAAGAAAAATCAATATGTTCTTTTCAGCTTTGAGGTTATCACCAAAGCTTTCCAAGGATGACAAGCCGGGATGAACTTTGCGTCCAAAAAGCAGGTCCAAAAAATCCAAACCTTTTATCCTGGCCCCGTCTGCAATCCACTTCTCCCCCTCTTTTGCCTCTGCCTCAGACTATTCATTCGATGGCCAGCGAGTAATAAGATTCGCTTTCTGCTATCCTCTTCTGCTTCTGCACACTTCTTTGCATGTGAACCCAAGCTCACGCACGCTGACAGTTCATACAGCTACTGTAAAAAAAAAGTTTCCACCTGGGGCCAATACTTTATACGGACTCACAGTAGTACTTGTGAGTAGAACAAATGGTCTAAATTGTTCATTGATTCTGTTATAGATTGCTTAAGCCAGCAGCAAGAAAGAGTACTGGTAAGCAGGCCAAATATGTGGCTGGTTTCTTGTTTTTTCCCTGTAATTTGTACATAGATTAATGTTTCCTTGCAAAACTTGTGCCTGCATTCTTGGTTCTTGCCATAATTTCTTTGGGAGCGGATGAGAGGAGATGAGACAAGGTCGTCCTTGCTGGACCGTGTCTTTACTGCTATGATCTTTGCTGGTTGAGGCAGATGTGGTGGATGGCTTCTCTTGAAGAGGTCTTGGGTTCACATGGCCATTGCTTGCCTCCTCCTTTCTCCGTGACGTCTTCTTCCTGTGGGGTTCTTCCCTTTGGAGCTTGGCCCCTACCTACTCAGGACAAGCGTGTAGATGCAGGCGTGAATAGCCTTTGCCTGTGCTCCCATGTCAATCAAGTGTTCTGTGCTAGATTGGTCCCAGAGATGGTGCCTCTCTGGTGCTAATTTCTCTTGAGGGTGTTTCTGGTTTGGATTACTGAGTTAATGACGCCATGGCTGGGCAGAGTAGGATGAGGTTTCTTGCTTCTTCCTCTCTTGAGTTTGTTCTTGGGTAATTAATCCTTTTCCTGGGAGCAACTTGTGAGTTGTGACTGTTTCTTGGTTTCCTCCGCCTTGGTTTTACCCCCTTTTTTTGCGTTTTTTCGAGGCATCGATTTCTGAGCCGGATAAGTAGTTGAGCTGCTGGTGGCTGAATTATTAACAGTCCAATTAATTGCTGACATCCCAAGATGGGCAGTTCTTGATAACCCCAGTAATTTAATCGCTCGGTTTAGTAGCTCTGGTTTCAATTGCTCCCACATGGAGTAACAATTCATTAGTTAGAGGGATTTAGAGCTGAAACTTCTTCTCAAAATCGCAGTTCTTGGTTGTTGATTTCCCTCTGTTCATCGTGGAAACGTGTTAAGCTCAAGTTCTTGCAATTTTTCTTTGCTTTTTTTTTTTGTTTTGTAGAGGAAAATTTCTTGATTAGGAGATAGTACAAGGTTGGTGGCTATGGAGGAGGAATCCCAATCCCAATCCCATTTCCCGCTCCGGTGGGAGAGCACCGGCGACCAATGGTGGTACGCGACGCCCATCGACTGGGCGGCGGCGAGCGGCCACTACGACGTCGTCCGGGAGCTCCTCCGCCTCGACGCCAACCTCCTCATCAAGCTCACCTCGCTCCGCCGCATCCGCCGCCTCGAGTCCGTCTGGGACGACGACATGCGCTTCGCCGACGCCGCCAGGAACCGCGCCGCCGTCGCCCGCCGCCTGCTCCACGACTGCGAGCCCCCCAGGGGCGCCGCCGCTGGCGGCGGAAGCCGGCCCAACCGGCTCATCCGCGCGGGCTACGGCGGCTGGCTCCTCTACACGGCGGCCGCCGCCGGGGACGCGGCCTTCGTGCGGGAGCTGCTCGGGAGGCAGCCGCTGCTGGTGTTCGGCGAGGGGGAGTACGGCGTCACCGACGTGCTCTACGCCGCGGCCAGGAGCGACAGCTCCGAGGTGTTCCGGCTGCTGCTCAGCGCGGTGCTGTCCCCGCCCGAGTGCTCCGCCGGGGGAGAAGGCGACGGCGGCACCGCCGCCATTGCTGGGGGTTTCATGTTCCGGTGCGAGATGATGAACCGCGCGATGCACGCCGCGGCAAGGGGAGGCAACCTGGAGGTCCTCAGGGAGCTCCTGCAGGGGTGCTCCGACGCGTCGGCGTTCCGGGACGCTCAGGGATCGACGATCTTGCACGCCGCGGCCGCGAGGGGGCAGCTTGAGGTGATGCTACTTCCTGCTTCACAAATTTTTTATCTATGAAATATTCATGACAGGGTAATTCCATAGAAGAATTAGTTTTACTTTGTAGCTGCAACTTTTGTTAACATTTTGTCAGCTCTAATCTATGAAACTTTCTGATTCTTGAGGTGATTTGATCATATTTAATTGCTAATCTGGGGACACTGGAATGATATATATCTGCTACATTATTGTCTTTGATTTGACTGTCCCTGAAGTTGATCTTGTGCACATGCTAGCCAGATTTCCTTTCGTTTTACACATGATATGATTTCTTAGTGACACATGATATGGCATGTTCTAGTTAAATTAATAGAGATGGAAACTAGATGGCATTGACAGATATTCTCAACCTACTACTGAAATGTGGTGTGTTTAGCTGTCACGAATGTTTGGTGAGAGTCAGCAACTGAGGTTTAGTTGTAAACCATTGACCTAATAAGGAATTTTATAATACATCCATATATGCTTGTCATTGGAAGTGTTCACCGACACGCTAATGCGTGGTGAAGAAATAGTCTGTTCATCTGGGATGCCATGACAAGTGTCTTCCCACCATCTGTTCTTTTGTTCTAAATTTATATTTATTGATTAAAATCGTCGTGTGTTACTCTGTGGATGCATACTGAAGTATTAGCATGTTCTTACTTAATTCTACAGGTTGTGAAGGATCTTATTGCCTCTTTCGATATAGTCAACTCCACAGACGAGCAAGGGAATACGGCATTGCATCTAGCCGCCTTTCGAGGTCATTTGCCCGTGGTCAAAGCCCTCATCACTGCATCCCCATCACTTATATCAGCTACAAATGAAGTTGGCGACACGTTCCTTCATATGGCGCTGACTGGCTTTAGGACCCCAGGATTCCGAAGGCTTGATCGTCAGATGGAGCTTATGAAGCAATTGATTGGTGGAGTGATCATGGATTTAAGCAGCATTATCAATATGCAAAACGACGATGGAAGGACAGTTCTTCACTTGGCTGTGATTGGCAATCTGCACTCTAGCCTTGTTGAGCTCTTGATGACTGCACCGTTGATTGACCTTAATGTCCGGGACAATGATGGCATGACTCCTCTGGATTTACTTAGGAAACAGCCACCAACAGCATCGTCTGAGATACTCATCAAGCAGCTTATTTTGGCTGGTGGAATTGCAAATTCAATGGACCATGAGACCAGATCAGCCATTGCTTCTCAGCTAAAGATGCACTGTATCGTAGGCAGCCCGGGAACATCCTTCAAGATCCCAGATGCCGAGATCTTCCTCCATGCAGGTATCGATGCGTCAGACATCAGCGAAAGAACGAACTCATTCTCTAGCGTTGGACAGAGTGAGCCAGAATTTCCGGAATCCAGTCGTAAGAAGCTGAACTCTATGCAAAATGCAGCGAAACATCTCAAGATCCTACTCAGATGGCCCCTCCGCAAGGAGAAGAAATCATCATCCGGTGCCCGAAATGAACTGGACGACGACGCATCCTCTGTGGATTCAGTCAAGAGCTGGAGCCACGGGGAGACCCCGACACCGCTGAGGCAGAAGTACTCCAGGATGAGCTCCCTGTTCAACAACAAGCGGACCATGGCAGCCAGGATCGGCTCACCGAGTCCATCGATGAAGAAGAGCTTCGCAGATGGCCTCGCACATGGCGTGATGCAGCCCGAATCGCCTTCAGGCTCGGGCTCCTGGTCGTCGTCGTCCTTGGTCGACAGGATTGAAGCCGTCCATCTGGACAAGAATGGCCAAGCATCTCCTGATACCAGTGTGGTGATCAGGCGTACACCCAAGAAGCACGGGTCTTTGAACAGCAGGCTCATGAACCAATACTTCTGCATCGGAGCGCAGGGGATAGCTGTCGAGGACTCAACCACGGGGCAGCGATCAAGTCGGATGTTCAGAAGTTCACTTCTGTCAGCTGCCTGAATTCGTAATTTAGACATGGTTTGCTTTCCTTGACTTCACTGCTTACAAGTTACAGCTGATCTGTTAGTATGTGCGAGTGCATGTGAGAAGACTGTCATATGTTGTGTTTGTATTACTGATGCAAAATGGTGAGATCTACTAATGTAATGTAGTGCTGTTGGTAGTGTGTAATGATTTTGTTGGGAGAGTGAGTACAATGGAAGGCATGGTTTTCAAGTTCTATGGTTTTTATATCTTACAATATCATATGAGGTTAGTGAGTATAATTTGTAGCAGAGTAAATTACATTGGTGGTACACGAACTTGTTAAGTGGGTGCAATTTAGTATATAAATTTGTAAAATGCTCATTTTGGTACACGAACGTATCTAATCCGTGCGAGCTAGGTCCAAAATGGCTTGGCAAGGTTAATTTTACCTATCTGATGTTGATTATCTGATGTTGATTAGGATGTGACGTGTATACGCATAGTGAGTATGCATAAAACATGCTATATTTACAAATTTGTTATCTACTTTATCTTGAATTTCGTATGTTTCTAACCCCTGTATTACTGCTCGGTATTTTATATCTTTCTCTACAATCACTATATCTCATTCTATCTTTTTTATTGAACAGGTGTATGTCTAAGTAGTAACCTTCTCATATATATATGTTTATATAGTATCCTAATCAGCACCTAAATTAACAAAAATAATCATGTAATGTCCTTTTGACCTTAAGTCGCACGCGCAATATAAGCTCGTGTACCAAAACGAGCATTTTACAAGTTCATATACTAGATTGCACCCACCTAATAAGTTCGTGTACCGCCGATGCAATTTACTCTTTGTAGCACCTTTTGTATCTTACGACTATATATAGGTATACAGAGAGAGGTATACAGTTGCATAAAGAATATAGCGCCTCTTCAAATACCGTAACCAAAAAAGATTTAGCGATCTTTGTTCACGTCATCACGTGGGTCTTATCTCAATATTACATTTGAGTGGACATTTTAAAAAAAGCAAGGATGGACGAATGATCCGACATGCCAACTATATATGTAGTCGTGCTAAGAAAATATGCAGCAAAGGCTCATCAAATACGCAAAAAATCGCAAGCAAATGTAAACCTTGCTCCACTTTTCTAAATGACTAGCGACTAATTTCAGTCTTGGCTCCGGGTTTTTTTTTATTATTTTCAAAAATACGGGTAAGATTTGCGTACCTTCGTATTAAGACTAAGTTTATATTATAGCACAAGTGAAGACAAGTATGAACAGAAGAAAAGAAGAAAAGAAAGTTGCAAAATAATTGTGAAAGGCATGGCGATTTTAGATATCAATGTCATGGTGGTGGGTTTCTCCTCTGTTAGTTTTAATCTGCTTATCTATCGCGTGTCAAACTTCGCGGTTCATATGCTAACTCGTTTTTTTTAATATTATCATTTGTAATTACACTTTGTAATGATTTTCCATGATCAATAAAACACATCTTTCTCTAAAAAATTAATTGTGAAAAGCTATATCTTACGGCTGAATTGTATGACAAAAAAAACTCACACTAGACTAGCGTCTGGAAGGAGTACTAGAGTGTGGCTTCCTTTGAGGTAGCACTTGCCACCTCCATTCTTTTTTTTTCTGGCCGTTCGAAATACGATTGTTCTATTCCTTTCAAATTGACCATGACGTTAGAATTACAACAATGTCATAGCCTGCTATCACACTACTATTGGAAAAACAATTGCTTATTTGAAGGAGAGCATTTTATCTAACTGATTTTCTAGAATGATAAATAAAGAGTGCCTCTAGCCAACTAGATCGTCTTTTCCTGTTGATCACAAAGAACACAATGCTAGAGATGCTGCAGGCCACGTATGCTTGATCTATCTGTCGTCTAGCAACGGCGGTGGGCCACTAACCAGTAGAAATACTTGTAATGCAGTGGTGAGGTTTCGAGATCTCCAATGTCTTCATCAAGTATCAACGAAAGTCTCTAAATGGGAAGAACATATGTAAAGAATACAGCACAAGGATTTTTTTTGAGTTTCAAAACCATAGAACAAGTTGTGTATTTGACCATTGAAGAAGTTGCTCAACCATAATTTTCTGTGTAATTTCCGGATAGTACATATATTCAACCAACTGTTTAATTTTCAAAATTTTAAGCCTTTTTATTTACTTATTTTATTTATTACTCCCTCAATCTACTTTTGATAGACATATTTCCAAATCTGAAAAATTTATTTTTGATAGGCATATTTCAATCCAACAACTTATCATCTTAATATCTTTCTCAGATTTAATGCGTAACTCTCCATTCTTCCACACAAGATTGGCTACATGGACATCAAGAAATTTAAATATTAATGAATAGCTTATTTACGAGGAATGATTAGTAGCATACTTAAATAGATGATAAGTAGAATTATTTATCTTTGGTCTATGTGTTAAGATGGAATATGACTATCAAAAGTAGATGTAGGGAGTAATATTTCTTAATTGAAGCAGGAGTGTTGTAGTTTGGAAGACTAATAACCCAATACTTTATGGTTAGGGCATCCCCAACCCTCCACCTCAGATGGTGTCCATAGAATTTATTAGCCTGCCACATAAGTAAAATTCTGATGTGGCAAGGTAATTAAAGAAGTGAGAGAAGGAAAAAAAAAGAGAAACGGTGTCTCATGCACAAAACTGGATCGGCGCAGCCACCAAGATGCATGAAATGAGAGAAATCAGCGTTGGGGGCAACTCATCGTTTCTTCCGCCTGGATTTTTCTCGAGCTCCCGATCTGCTGTGCCGCCATGCCCGTCTCCGTCCAGCGCGCCAATTTCTTCTCGGCGAAATTTTTGGTGCGGCATCAATCCTCTTGGCGCCAAGTTCCTGCTCGCCTTTTCTTTTTCTTGCCGCTTCTATTTTTCCCCAATCACCTGTGTTCTTCAATATCTCTGCTTGAGAGCAAAAATCGCCAAAACTCATCTCTGGTGGCTTCCACATTCTGTCTTCTTCCCTATATCCTCTTCCCTCTTCCATACCATCATGTCCCACCAATCTGAAAATGATCCGCCAAGTGAATCCCCTTTGCATGATGATTCTTTGGATGAGGTGAGCAGCATAGATCCAATGGATCTGTACCCTTTAGATGAGGTGAGCAGTATATTGGGCGATATTGCTGATCAAGTGATTGTTGAAGTGAAGTCCGAAGTTGCAGCTCTACAAGACATGAGACCTACCAGGCGGAGTGGTACAAGAAGTTATATTGATAGGCCTTATGCAGAATCTGAACAGGGGCTCTTGAATGATTACTTTGTAGAGAATCCAGTCTTCAATGGAACAAACTTCCGTAGAAGATTTAGGATGAGAAGGCCCCTGTTCTTACGCATTGTTGAAGCCCTTGGTGAGTGGAATGAGTATTTTACTTTGAGGATGGATGCTCTTAACCGCCCAGGGATATCTCCAATAAAAAAATGCACATCGGCTATTCGCCAATTGGGAAATGGCAGCCCTGCAGTGGAGTGCTTGAAGATATTCGTGAAGGGTGTGATTGAGGTGTATGGCGAAGAGTATTTGCGACGACCCACCGTACAAGATGTTGAATGCTTAGTGCATACTAGGGAGCACCGTGGGTTCCCCGGCATGTTAGGGAGCATTGACTGCATGCATTGGCATTGGGATAAATGCCCAGTTGCTTGGAAGGGAATGTATACCCGCGGTGATCAAGGTGTTCCTACAGTGATTCTAGAAGCGGTAGCGTCGCATGATCGTTGGATATGGCATGCCTTCTTTGGTGTTGTTGGATCCAACAATGATATCAATGTGCTGAATCAATCACCTTTGTTCATCCAGCAGTTGAGAGGGGAAGGTCCTCAAGTTCAGCACCATGTCAATGGAAGGCAATACAACAATGGCTATGGCCTTGCAGATGGTATATACCCAGAATGGGCTGCTTTCATAAAGTCAATTCGCCAACCACAATCATAAATGCACAAATTATTTGCACAACATCAAGAAGGGGCAAGGAAGGATGTTGAATGTGCTTTTGGTATTTTGCAATCTCGCTTTAGTATTCTAGAACGACATGCACGTCTTTTTGATCAAGGGGATTTTGAGAATGTCATGCTAGCTTGTATCATTCTTCACAACATGGTAATCGAAGATGAGAAATATATGAATCAGGATATTCCTCTTGACTTGAATGAGACACCAAGCACGTCATCTGTTAAAGAAGCTACAATATCTCAAGGCCATAATCCAGAGATGGAACAAGTGATAGAAAGAAATGTCATTATTCGTGATTGTACTGCTCATAGACAACTTCAGTCAGATTTGATTGAGCATATTTGGCTAAAGTTTGGGAAACGAAGTTAATTAGGTGATCGTGCATCATTTTAAGTCTAGTTTACAATCTGTGTATTACATATACTACTTCATATATAGCTTAGCAGTAACAGTTGAACTAAATAACTACTTATTTTTTTCCGTAATGTGATTTTTTACCTTACATATACTGACATCTCTTCTTTTATTTCCTTCCTGCAGATAAGGTCATGTCTAATGTGTTGCTGCTCTACCTAATGGTTGAAGTGCTCCTGTCTGCTGGATAGATGAAATGCTCCTGTCTGCTGGATGGATGACCTAATGTCCATTGGATGAATGAATTTTTAATGTTGAATGTCATCAGGCTATCTAAGTTATTATACTTATGTTTCTTTATTTTGATGAACTGTGTCGACGTTTGATATCGCGATTCCGGTATTTGTATAGTATGGGGATCGTTGGTACTAGGATATATGCGAGATTGTAATAAAAGAGATGGGGACGAGGATTTTTATATAGGTTCAGGCCACTGAATTGTCAGGTAATAACCCTACTCCTGTTGGCCGAAGCCGGTCGTTGCTCTTATTCACCATAATCACACCAGTATAATATTTGGGGCAGCCTATCTAACTGTTGTCGACTTGGCGGTCTGAAGTGCTGACTCGTAGTCGACAACAGAGTAGCCTTCCTCCTCGAATCCGCATCCGGCGAGATCAAAGACAACGCTATGTCTCTCCTGACAGTATCCGTAGACACCGTAGGGGACTAGCCATGCTTATCTCTGAAGTCGATATCCGACATCTTGTCTTGGCGCATGTTGGCTTGTATGTTGATCTTGTGTCTTGATCTATTGTTCCGTGTCCCCTCTCCTCCTAGGGGGCCTTGTATTTATACCCATAGGTGTCCCCTTGTCCAAGTAGAACTAGGGAAACCAATATGGATACAATCCGAGTAGTCCTTGTCGTTTTCATATAGAACTCCATTCATTCTTCCTTATACGGAACTCCTCCTATATCCGAAGATTATTTCCATATAAGACATGGTATGTGGTGGGTCCTGCCGAGATTTAGTCAACTACTATTAGGTATGTGGTATCCATAACCCTGATAGTAGCCCCCGACTTCAATGCAAATGAACGAGTTCATATTCTCAATCCGAAGACCTCGGAATAACTGTTATCGAGCTCACGTGACCGTTCTCAGTAAGTTCAGAGATAACGATAGACTTCCCTTATCAGTCTCGTGCGGGCACAGTATAGGGTTTGTCTGAGTCAATCTCCGACGTCAACCAAGAAAGTACAGAGCATAGGACTAACTCTCTCGTCTTGCTGTAATCGAGAATTTGGATTGAAGTCAAGAAATTTTATCTCGGCGGGTACACCATCTCTTCATTCCGTATTCCTTGTCGAGGTCCACCAACCATTCTCGAGTGATCGAGAAGGCGCAGAGTCTGCGACGGAGCCTTGTCAACATTTGTCGTACTCGCCTTAGTTGATCTTGGTATAGAACCATAGAGACATGGAGTCTTCGACAATGTCGAATAGAATTTTCCTGAAATCAATACTTAGAAAAAAATATTAGATAGAAATAGCATGTTATAATATGTATGGAAAACTGAAAATGAATTAAATTTACAGACTAATGTTTTGTATATGAGCGTCTTCTCTTTTACCGACTTCGACCAGTCAGTTTGTTGAGTCATACACTCTCCCTAGCCCCCAGCCTTGTCGTCGGAGAATCGTTCTCGAAGGATAAGGCTCTTGGACCCTTGACCTGCTTTGGTTGAAAAGCGCTTACCCTAGCCCCCAGCAGTGAAGTTGAAAAACCTAATTTCTGATTACACGGCTTGGTTAATATGCATGGTGAGAACTTTTACATGACCAGATCTTACATGGTCGATCGTCTCTGCATTACCTGACAAAGCCTTATCCGCTCTGGGCGTCCCCAGCCGAAGTTCCCTTAGGTTCCTCGGAGGCCTTGCTAGGGCGGCGTAATGGGACAGTAGGATTGGTTTCAACTCTAGGTGTCGTCGTGGTAAGGGATCTCTGGGTAAAACACTTGGCAATATTGTGTACCTGATATCAACTTTGTTGGAGTAGAGGTAGTGGGAGAATCGCTACACCTCTGGTCGAGGACCAGGTAGTAGTCGTAACTCGACCACTCAAAGTAGAAATAGTGGGAGAATCGCTACACCGCTGGTCGAGGACCAGGTAGTAGTCGTAACTCGACCACTCAAAGTGGAAATAGTGGAAGAATCGCTACACCGCTGGTCGAGGACCAGGTAGCAGTCGTAACTCGACCACTTAAAGTGGAAATAGTGGGAGAATCGCTACACCGCTGGTCGAGGACCAAGTAGTAGTCGTAACTCGACCACTTAAAGTGGAAAGAGTGAGAGAATCGGTACACCGCTGGTCGAGGACCAGGTAGTAGTCGTAACTCGACCACTTAAAGTGGAAATAGTGGGAGAATCGCTACACCGCTGGTCGAGGACCAGGTAGTAGTCGTAACTCGACCACTTAAAGTGGAAATAGTGGGAGAATCGCTACACCGCTGGTCGAGGACCAGGTAGTAGTCGTAACTCGACCACTTAAAGTGAAAATAATGGGAGAATCGCTACACCGCTAGTCGAGGACCAGGTAGTAGTCGTAACTCGACCACTTAAAGTGGAAATAGTGGGAGAATTGCTACACCATTGGTCGAGGACTAGGTAGTAGTCATAACTCGACCACTAGAAGTAATTGTACGAGAGATCGCTACGATTGACTGGTTGAGAACTAGTGAGTAGGTGTCTCTCGACCATTTGGAGTCGTGGTACGAGGACCGCTATGCTGTCTGTCGAAGATCAGTCATAGCTGTTCCTCAACCATCTGAAGTCATCTGAACTCGTGGTGCGAGGACCGCTACGCTATTGCCGTAGTCATACCTCGACCATCAGAAGTTAAGGCGCGAGAGATCGCTACGTCCTACTGGTTCGAGAACCAGGAGTAGGAGCCTCTCAATCACCTATAGGGGTGCTAAAGTTGGTTTGTTACATGTGCACCTCATGTGGCCAGCATGACTCACATACCCAACTTATAGCATATCCGGATATCCGCTCGCAATCATATCGGGTGATCAAGCCGACAACGTTCACGAGAATTTATCCGTTAACAACCTTTTCTCGAATAGCCCAGCCATGGTCGGCGCTATGAGATAGGTCGTCGGTCTTCGTTGGTAGGTTGGGTGCGACAACTCCGCATTTGTCGAGAATGTTCTCGATAATGGGTGTACTCGACCACAACCTACTCGAGTGCTCAATTGTTCCTGAAAAATATTTTCTAGAAGGCAAGACATATAGAAGATAATATCGAGTATGTATTCAAAAAACTACATGGATCTTCTAGTATTATCAGGATATAACGAGCATATGAAATATCAGGCATTATATAAAGAGAGAATCCCTTATATGCCATTGAAATTTGGTCTGATCCCTGATATGCCACACAAAATTGGCTCTTCCCTTATATGCCATTGGGTCAAATTTGAGCACCCTCTCATGCCACTCACGTGAGTTGACTGTGTGTTGACTGTTAACTTGATAGTGAAAAGACGAATTTACCCCTGAGTTGTTAGGCAGGCAGTACCATTACTTGGCATTTTTTTTTAATTTGGTTGACATGTACATGTATATACAACATTTCAGCATTATATTGATTATATGAATAATTTTCAGCATTATATTGATTATATGAATATTGTATATACAACATTTCTACCACTACCATAGCATATATTTTTCACAAAGACATGAATTAAACAAGTAGTTCTCCAACAAAAGCTTGGACATGCAGTATACCAAGGTCTCTAAAATATTACATGGTCATGTCATAAAGGTTCAAATGACCTCACAACACCAAAATACATATTGACGGTACCAAAATACATTATAGTGCATCAGCACTCATCACAGTGCATACTAACACAGTCCTAACATGCAAATTAACTAGAGCAGTACTCCAAGATATTACAGTACCAAGCTAACTTCCAAATATTACAGTACCAAAATAATTCAACACATGCTTAGTATAAATTAAAATCTAGAGATTTCTTCTTTTTGCTTCTTGTCCCCATTGCTGGACTATCTGGAGTCACGGGAACAACTTTTTTTCGCTTGATTTGAGCCAAAGGTGTAGCATCAGTGCTATCTTCCTTGTTTTTCTTAGTGGCTACCTTGGCTTTAGTCTTTGTCTTGGGTTTGGCCTTGGCCTTGCACTTGTCAGGTGCTAGTGCTGGTAGTGGCATCAGCACACTCAAAGGTTCCGGTTGGTTGGATCCTGTCACTGATCTTGATCTGAAGATTCACATAAATGTAAGACAATAATCTTTGAAAGGAAAATGTAACTAAAAAACAAAATGATCAGTGAAAATGAAATCTGAAAACCAAAATACCTAATTGAATCTGATGAAGTAATAGTATGTCCTTTTTTTCCCACTTTGGCAGCTTTTGGTTGGTGGGTATGACATAGTTGGAGCTAAGCAAGGATTTTGGGCTGAAGATTCACTAGGAACAGGAATAATGCTAGTTTCACAATGTTCATTAGTAGCCTTCTTTTGCCTTTTTTTTGGACAGGAATAAAATCTTGAACAACCCAATCCTTCTCATCTCCCTCCTCTTCTTCCTCCCCCTCACCTTCTTCCTCCCCTTCCCCTTCTTCCTCCCCCTCCCCTTCTTCGTCCCCTTCCTCCTCCCCTTCCCCTTCCTCCTCCCCCTCCTCTTCTTCCTCCTCTTCTTCCTCTCCCTCCTCACTAACCACCTTAGGCACATCAGTACGCTCATGCTCACCATCAGCAGTAACCACAACAATTTCATCATCGGAGTAGATGCCTTCATCATCAACACCAACATGTTCATTTTGTTTAAATGGATTTGCTAAGTACTTATCAACAAGTTGTGTGCTACTGCTAGGCTGAGATATAGTAGCCTGAGATGGCACTGCAAGAGATGGAGTGGATGGCACCTCATGTATGTCAGCCGCATTATGTACTGTCCCACTAGCTATCTTTTCAGGTGTTGGCCAATCAGCAAGTGGAAGAGCTACAACTGGCTCATTGTTGCTATGAACTTGAATCAACATAGATATTTCCTTGGTGGTGGCATTCTTGACAAACATTTCTAGCATACATTGGTCTGAGCACACTTGAGGATAGTTTTTGTTTACTGAATCATAGTAGTTCACTGTTATAAATTCATTCACCCCCCATGGGTACTTCTCCCTAATGTCATCAATAAAGTCCTTGAAGTTTGTCCTGTCACTGTCTACCACCTCCTCTGTTTTATAGGTGAAGTTCTCTCTACTATGATGCCCTTGGAGCCTGATTTTCAACAAATATGTTGTACCAGGATCCATCCTATACACGATGCATGCAACAAGATTACTGTATGCCACAAAACTACACCTAACCAGTGCTACCACCATATGCAAAAATCTGAACAATCACAAGAGGGGGAAAAATTGATACATACCCTTCAGGAACCCAAGATTTGGGAGTACATTGGCTTGCCTTCTCTATTTTCCTTGTCATTTTCGTCAAGTCATCGCGTGCGCCTACCTCTTCCCGCCGCCGGCCTACTCCAGGCGCCGCAGCTCCTGCGCGACCGGCCGCGGGCCGCAGCCCTTCCAGCGACCGCCGCCGCGGCCCCTCACCAGCGGCCGGCCGTCACCCCCGCTCCAGCGGCCGGCCGTCGCCGCCGCCCCAGCGACCGGCCATCGCCCCTGCTCCAGCGACCGGCCGCCGCCGCCGCCCAAGCGACCGGCTGCCGACCTCACCTGCCGCCTGCCTGCTCTGACGCCGCCGCTCCCGTGCCACCCATCCAGCGACCAGCCCTCCCGCGGTCGCCCCTCCCGCAACCGGCCGCCGCCTCCCTGCTCCGGACTGCCGCCCTCGCCGCGCCGCCTGCACAACCGCCGCGCACAAGAGAATCGCGCCGCCTGGTCAGGGGAGCCGCGCCTCCTCTCGTCCTGGTCAGGCACGATCTAGGGTTTCCCCTATTGAGGAGAGGGATGTTGGACTTGGGCCACTTGGCATTGGGCCATTTTCTCAAGTTTGGGTCAAAGGCTATTTTTGTCATTTCTGCAAAAATCTGACAAGTTATTAGATCCTAGCAACAGTCAACACACGGTCAACTCACGTGAGTGACATGAGAGGGTGCTCAAATTTGACTCAATGGCATATAAGGGAAGAGCCAATTTTGTGTGGCATATCAAGGACCAGACCAAATTTCAATGGCATATAAGGAATTCTCTCTTATATAAACCGTAGACAAGCATAATTCATACAGAAGAAAATAGAGCGAGCCCCCAGCGTTAGACCGTAGTTGGCCTAACATCAGAAATGCTCGCACAATAGATATTGTATAAAAGACATGCTCTAGGTAAACATAATAAATTATTGATATGACAATATTGTATAATCTTGAAAAATAGGTACGATAAATTTCATATAAAATATTGCGTACCTTTGTAGATACATGCCGAATGTATCTATGAAATTAGTAGATTAATTTAGAAATCAATCTCACTAATTACCTTCTGTGCACGTGTCCGAGTAGCATAGATGTCTTACCAAACCAATTTGCATATGCACTGTGCAGAAACACGTTGGCTGGTCCACGCATGCATGCATGTTCTCGGTCTTAACCTAAGTAAACAGTGCGCCGTTGATCTCGGTATGAATTGTGCCGATGTGTCCGAGGACACCTCGTCGGGAACATGACCAACTCATATTTAATCAATCTCACGTGCCGTCGATACCATTGGTTTTCCGCTGCGACAAAATCTTGAACTAGGGTCAATCTTGATGGTTCCGATCTCGTCGGGGCACGTACTCTGGTCGGGTTAGACTTCTCGGATCCAAAGTAGTTGAAGTATCCCTCGTCAAAATATCCATAGTGACGATGACTTGGTGAAGCTTGACGAAGATCCCGATCCATCGGAGAACGCACTTCGCTCAGGTCGTATCACCCAATATACGAAGTCGTTGAGTAGTTTGCTGGCGAAGAATCCATCTCTTGAACCCATCTCGTCAAAATCCTGAAGCACCAAAATCCCCCTACCTGGCGCGCCACTATCAACGTTTGATGTCGCGATTCCGGTATTTGCATATTATGGGGATCGTTGGTACTAGGATATATGCGAGATTGTAATAAAAGAGATGGGGACGAGGATTTTTATACAGGTTCAGACCCCAAAATTGTCGGGTAATAACCATACACCTGTTGGTCGAAGCCGGTCGTTGCTCTTATTCACCATAATCACACCAGTACAATATTTGTGGTAGTCTATCTAACTGTTGTCGACTTGGCGATCTCAAGTGCTGACTCGTAGTCGACAACAGGGTAACCTTCCTCCTCGAATCCGCATCCGGCGATATCAAAGACAACGATATGTCTCTCCTGACAGTATCCGTAGACACCGTAGGGGACTAGCCATGCTTATCTCTGAAGTCGATATCCGACATCTTGTCTTGGCGCATGTTGGCTTGTATATTGATCTTGTGTCTTGATCTATTGTTCCGTGTCCCCTCTCCTCCTAGGGGGCCTTATATTTATACCCATAGGTGTCCCCTTGTCCAAGTAGAACTAGGGAAACCAATATGGATACAATCCGAGTAGTCATTGTCGTTTCCATGTAGAACTCTATTCATCCTTCCTTATGCGGAACTCCTCCTATCTCCGAAGGTTATTTCCGTATAAGACATGGTATGTGGTGGGTCATGCCGAGATTTAGTCAACTACTATTAGGTATGTGTTATCCATAACCCTGACAAACTGATGTTATGAAAGACTACCAGTTTGAGTGCTGCTACTTTGTTATTTATGGGTACCTATTTATCTTTAAGTTAATTGGTGTCAGCATAACCTGCTCATGTGCACATGATCTCTTTTTTATTTTAATGAGATGGATGGATTGTCATCTGTATGAATTGCATGATTGATCAAATTAATTGCCTAGGTCAGAGGTTATATATTTGGTTTGTTTTTGACACATTCATATATCTGCTCATTTGGTATGTAACATTTGAATTACTCTACCAAAACGGTGTAGGTTGTTTGCTTGCCACAGCTGATCCTCCTGTGTTAATGTTACATGCAAAGAACTATTAAATTTTCTTCCCCCATGGAAACTGGTATAGAAACGATGCAATGGGGATCTAGTGTCCATATATGCATTTATTGATTTCTCACTGCTCTAGACACTACCCATGGATACCATGGGTTGAGAATGCCCTTAGACTTCCGATTTGCTATTCTGGGGGATAACAGTGAGTCTCATTTTGTTATTAGATTAGCTGTGTTTAGCATTCATCTCGATGTATTGCATGTCAATCTGGCATAAGTCCATAGGAAAATGCAGTTGCACCAATCATTTCTTCACAGTAAATATGCTTGCATTTCCATTTTCCAAGGCCAATATCAACCCAGAAACTATCAAGTAGTTTCCATACTGGTCATGTCATATAAGAAACTACTCCCTCCATCTACTTTTGATCATCATATTTCATCTTGGCACACAGACTAAGTATAAGTAATTCTATTTATCATCCATTTAAACATGCTACTAGTTATTCCTCGTAAACAAGCGATTCATTAATATTTACATTTCTCGATGCCCACGCAGCCAATCTTATATGGAAGAATGGAGAGTCACGCATTAAATCCGAGAAAGCTATTAAGAGGATAGGTTGTTGGATTGAAATATGACTATCAAAAATAAATTTATCGGATTTGGAAATATGACTATCAAAAGTAGATGGAGGGAGTATATGCCTAATGGATGGTGTTTTCAAATTAAATTATCATCCAATCGTCTTTTTTCTGTATCCATTTATCCACATATCCCCTTGTTTTAATCCTTAGTTCCTGTGTAGAGACAGTTTCTTGCATGAGAAATGATTTCTTTATCTTTTTACCCTTTCTCCTCATTAACTCTATTGCCACATTAGATTTTTGCTTATATGACAGTGGATTTAATGTTGTAGACACTAGCTGAGATGGAGGGCTGGGATGACCTAAAGGAACGAGATTTACCTGTGTTTTCCTGATGAAAGCAAAAATGTGGTCCACTGTTTCACGTGTACTACCTGCTGTTGAGAAATACGCCTATAGACTCCTTGATTTTCAACAACCCATTTTGGCTGCCAATTAGGCTATACAACTCCCTTAGATGAAAACATGGTTAATTTAATTGCCATCGACGGTGAGATTCAAGCCCATATCAAGTTGAGCACAAGATACAATACTCCCCATTTGTAATATACAATGCTTCTCAACCCAAGGGAATAGTTACTGCTCAAGTTTAGATATATATATATTTTAATAATGGATAAAAATCTAGCTTCTATTCTACAAATGGATATATACAGCTAAATTTTATAGGAATACTTAGATTCCACCTCTCATAACTGAGGCAAAACAACGACAAAAAAAGAACTAGAAAACTAAGCTTCGATCTTCATGCTGCTTGATGAGTACTACCGCGCCAAACAACCACACTGAGTCGATCTTGATTCACAACCTAAGGTCCTATACTCCCCATCCCCATCTGCATTCCATCCACCACCTTTGATTACCTCCTTCGTCACCACTACCCCTACCGTTGCCCGGATCAAATCGGCCTAGGTTCGACAACTCCTGACCTCTAGTGCGTTTGCTCGACAACGTCATTTATTGGAGGCAGAGAAGAAAGAAGAGACCTCTCCAACGCAATTCACATTGCACGAACAACTTCAAACACAGACACCTTGGATCCAGTGAGAGTTAGGCCCTAGATTTATCGTCACACCCTCTCCACCGCCTTCACCATCAACTCGCCGATGTTGCTCCTCACTTAGCTACCTTGCTCGCCAGAGAGATAGATCCAGACACCCCGGTCGTAGTTGGCACCACTAAAGGAGCCCGCCCTCATCCTCTCGTTGCTCGCCAAAAAGTTACTTGATCTAGCCATTAGATTGTATCCATCCACCTCGGATGCCACCAGCTCCGCCTAGCTAATCCTCCATCCTTGCCACTGCCATGAGCCCACTGCTCAAGGGCATCAAGGTCAGCCTAGTGCATGGTTACCTCCTTGTTGGCCCCTTTGCTCTCAATGATCTGCTCGGTAACATGCCGATGCACGATGATGCCAGTGCTGTCGGCACTACAGTCTCATCACACCACCGCTGATGCTCACCAGCCACAAGAAGAAGGCTAACAAGTTGTACACCATCAACGGCTAGCCGCAGTTCACTAGCGGAGATGCGAGTCTAGCCCGCCCTGCCGCCGTTGTAGCCACTGCTCCTCTATGCCATGCCATCCTGTCGCTGCCCCAATCATTCCAAAACACTACTAATGCACAACCATCGATATCACCTTAGATCTACTTAGATGCGGCCCTCGATTTCCCCAGCAAAGTCCTATTGTGCCAACACCATGCCTAACATGGAGTGGCTGGCAGCTGCCGCACTTGCTGTCATCGGATCCAGACACAACTCTAGGTCCAACGAGAGATACCTTGGCCAAAACCATCCTAAGCGCCAAGAGGGACCTGAACGAGCCCCGTCACCACCATTCATGCGCCCACGCAAAACTCCAATGGTGTGCTCGGGCAGCGGTGAGGTGAAGGATGGGATCGGAGAAGGCGAAGATAACCCTATTATAGCTATTACGTGTAATTTCCATCCATGATAAACATCTACTCCATTCATACTTTAATATAGTAGATGTTGAATTTATTCGGTCTTTGATATGTATGTTAAAATATAATAACTTATCGTTTGAAATATATCATACTCTATCCGTTTCATATTATCAGTTGTTTTTACTTTTCCTTACTAAGGCCCTGTTTTTTTCAGCTTGGGATTATTATAATCTAGATTATTGAGTCAGATTACTATAAGCTAGATTGTTATAATCTGTAGTAGAATAAGCGGTTAGTTGTTTCTTTTCTAGATTATTAGAGCCTAGATTATTGGGTTTGCAAGTCTAAGGGCCTGTTTGGCACAGCTCCAGCTCCAGCTTCACCCCTTCTGGAGCTGGAGCTCAGCCAAACAGTTTCGGCTCCACCAAAACTGGGAGTGGAGCTGGGTGGAGCCCTCTCACAAAATGAACTAGAGTTGTGGAGCTGGGTTTAGGCAGCTCCACAACTCCACTCCAGACTCAACTCCTGGAGTTAAATTTAGGAGTTGGAGCTATACCAAACAGGCCCTAAAGAGGGAGTGGGGTGGCATGGTGGGTAATTTTTCACCCAATAATCTGGAAAAAGCTCACCTAAATGAGTTTATCAGATTATAATAAGTTGGACTCCAGATTATAATAAGTTACTTCAATAAGTTGTCTGTTTCTTTCAGCTTACTCCCAATAATCTGGATTATAATAATCCCAAGCTGAAAGAAACAGAACCTAAGTTTATAGAAAAGATTAACAATATCTACAACAACAAATTAATTTCATTAAAACTAACATTTAATATATTTTGATAATATGTTTGTTTGTGTTAAAAGTATTGCTATATTTTTCTATAAATTTGATCAAATTTAAAGAAATTTAAGTAGGAAAAACAAGTCAAAAGCGACCAACAACTTCTCGTTTATAAATTTTATATCCAATCGTATCATTTTTATTTACTGAACTAATTAATCCATGTTCCATTGTTCCTTCACAATAATGTATCAAGCGCAGTAGTATATGCATGCACGTCATTATTCAGTAGTCCAGCACGATGGAGATGAACTTTAAGCTCACAGTACATTACGACTAGGACGATATCATCACATTAAACCTTCAAATTTCGATATCCAAATCCAACTCGAGAGAATTATCCCCTTTCTCCACGGTGAACGTCTTGAGCATCTTCCCCGTCGCCGTCGTCACCTGCGCGACGTACGTGCCGTGGAAGCCCCTGAACTTGAAACGGCCATCGCCGTCGACAATGCCGCGCGCGTCCGACCTCCACTCCCTCTGGAGCTGGAGGAACCTCTGCCCGGCCTCGTTGACGGTGCCGTCGGCGTCGACGAGGTAGGCGTCCCGGCGCCACATCTGCCCCTCCATGAACCCCCAGAGCACGACGCCCTCCACGGCCGGGTGCGCGTACGCCTCGCGCAGCACCACCTCCAGGTCGTCGGCGCGGAGCCCCACGTCGGGCTCGCTCACGTCCAGCTCGGTGATCCAGATGGGCGCGCCGCCCGCCGCGGCGAGCTTGTCCAGCGCGGCGCGGATGACCTGCCCGGCCACCGGGCTGTCCATGTGCCCCTGCACCCCGATCCCGCCCACCGCCGCGCCGCCGCGCCGCAGCGCGTCCACCAGCTCGACGTACTTCTCCGGCGTCGCGTTGGGGTCGTTCCCACGCAGGACGTTGTAGTCGTTGACGAAGAGCCGCGCGGCCGGGTCCAGCCGCGCGGCCTCGCGGAACATGAGCGGCGCGACGCCGTCTCCCAGCCGGTCGCGGTAGAAGCGGCCGTGCAGCATCTCGTTGTTGACGTCGTAGTGGCGGAACCGGCCGGCGTAGCGGGACAGGAGGCCGTGGAGGCGGCCCTGCACCGCGGCGGCGAGGTCGTCGCGGCCGAGGTCCTTGACCCACTGCTGCACGTCGCCGTCGACGGCCCAGAAGATGCAGTGGCCGCGCGCCGACTTGCCGTAGCGGTGGCAGAAGTCGAGCAGCTCGTCGGCGTCGCGGTAGTTGATCTGCCCGCGCTGCGGCTCCGTCGAGTACCACTTGAGCTCGTTCTCGAAGACGGCCCAGTCGAAGTTCTCGCAGAAGAAGTCGACGAACTTGGGGTTTCGGATGGCCGTCTTGTTGATGCAGGATCCGAACGGGAAGCGATTCTCCAGCAGCTGCGCCACGCGGATTGACGCGCCGGCCATGGTCGCGCCGCCGCCCAAGTTGAGAATCACGTCTCGCTTGCGAACCTGCATGAGCGCATCCAGGGAATGTCATTTTACTTTGGGCTTGCTAATTCATCACTTAACTGGAGTATTTTTTTCCCCCTAAATATCAGTCACTTTCTTAAACGGCCATTTCATTTAGAGGTTTTTTCCAAAAAGTCATTTGACTTCTTACCGCGAATTAAAAATCCAAATAAGTGACATGTTACGAATGATTTTGTTCTTTTCAGAAATTGTGATCAAATGTAATTTATATTGCCTACATGGATTGTTAAACGACACTTGTCTATATATGACTGGAGGAAATATTAATTTAGCACGTAAAGCAGTAACGAAGAAGTTGATCATGCAAACGTGCGCGCGGAGTCGGAGTGAGCTGATGATTGCTCACTCACCTTGTCAGTCTGCTCTTTGAGCTGCGTCAACCGCGCCTTGCGGTCCGTCGCGTAGACCTGCAGATCCATCACCTTAACATCAACACCGGCAGGCGCGCCATGGACGTGAACAGCCGCGACGCGTGGGCTCGCCCTGAGCCGGAACGCGCCGTTGATCTCCGCCCACCCGCCGCCCACCTCGACGCGTGCCGCGCCGCAGTCTAGCCAGCTGCCGCGCTCGTCGTCGCCGCCGTCGCCGTCCACGCGGAGGCCGACGCGCACCGCATGGTGCCTCCCGTCGCCCTGGCCCTGCACGCTGACCCACCCGACGACACGGTACGTGACCCGTGGCACGAGCGCGCCCGCCGGAACCGCGCGCCGCAGCCCGTCCTCCTCGTCGGCGCGGCGCGACGCGACGATGTACCGTCCGCTTGATCGTCTAATACGCTCATTCGGCTCCGCGGCCGACACGGCGCCCGAGATCAGCATGGCCGTGTCGCGCTCGGCGTGCGAGGACAGCGCCGTGCGCGTGCCCACCGGCGCCCAGCCGGCGAGGCCGCCGTCGTCCTCGATCAGGTTCACCTCGAAAGCGACCTCGTGAGCTAAAGCCATGCTAGCTCTCTCGTCTTGCCTGTCGTGTCCACTGGCTTGACGTGGTGACTGACTGCAGCTAGCGATGATCTATCATGCACGGTGGCTGCCCTGTATTTATAGGTGAAATCATCGTCGCCGGATTAACCATATATCTTGTCGTCGATAAGTCGTGCCGAACTGAACTGGTGGAATGCAATAGCAAGGAGTAGAGAGTAGAGACTGGAAGCAACTACCAGATCGATGATATCTCAAATCTCATTCCCTGTGCGACTCTGCGTGTATTTATGAGCAACTGTGTAGCTTGGGCGACGCAACAAATTCTGACTTGTTGGGTTCAGATGCCGCTCTGACTTGTGGCATGAATGGATCGGATCGAGCTGAGCTGACATGGGCGAAATGCAGTAATTGATGCACACGTCGTTTTGGCATCGTCGTCGGTCTGAACTCTGAAACCGGGGAATGTCAGCTTGGCTACTTGCTGTTCGTTACTCGATCAATCGATCTGGGACGACATATATCCACTATGGGTTAAAAGCGTTGGCAGCACGAAGGGCTGAAGGCTCTTCTATTTGTTTCTCTTTTGGTGGACGCTTATAGTGTTCATGTCTTCTTGTTAGTGGCACATAGTAGGAAACTAGGAAGTGATGAGAGGAAGAAGGAATGGATATAAGAAACTTCGGCTATGGTTCATTGTTTCGTCATATTCATGTGGACCAAGAAATTCTCTTTTTAGGTCATTTTTCAAATTTTTGATCGGAACTAAGTTTTTGCACCGATTTATATGAAAAGTTTAATCCCCGCAAGAAACATGAAAACATGCCTTGCCAGTTTTTGGGCCAAGCTGGATGTTCATCTTTCTAAGCATCTTGCTCTCCGCTCATAGTACCTGTTGGAAGTATAGTCATAATTCATATGTTGGAAGTATTTTAAACTAGAAAAACAAAATACTAAACATGAGATGTGAATAAAAAGATGATAGAGTAACATGTTTAACACTAAAGTGAATAGAGTGACATACCCGGGATCCAGAGGCGGTGTTGGTGTTGGGGTTGATGTTGGTGTCACCGTTCCCGTCGTTCTCCCCTCCGTTGCCATTCCCAGTCACAATGATGAAAAGGAAACAAAAAACACTTGGCGCATAGGAAGCAGTGGAGACGTAGCAGAGCAATCGCGCCAAAGAAGCACTTGCCAAAAACTTGATGAGAACCAGAGTATCAGGAAAATGAACAGAATAGAGAGTTCTATGTCTATCTCGGAGATGGGAGATGAAAACTATGACATCCTGGCCCAATTAGGATGAGGCCTGTGCGACCCATGTGAGTTGTATACGCATGTTTAGTATACCACCTTACTAGTTTATCAAGGATGGAACCAACTTATAAGGGCTTGTCCCTCCAACCATGCCACTCCCGGATTACCCTTTTACCCGAAGCGAGGACAAAAGTGTAAATGATTTGGTTTGTGTAAGTGGGCCCACCCATCAGATGGGCTGGCTACGTGGTTCTAGAATTACTAGAATTATATTGGGCATATTTCATTTAATTCTAACAGTACATAGAGTCAAACCAGAACAAACCAACAGAGCCTTGGCTAAATGAGACCTTTAACAATGCTTGGGAGGTATGCCTGGTACCTCCCAGTCTACCGTACAGAGGGATAATCTGGAAAAAGTTCAATGTAAATAGGGGTAGTTTACTACTTATTTAGCCAAACCATCGCTAACTCATCCCGTACCTTTTTGACGCTATACTCTCGAGCTGATCCGCTTAATTCTCATCTCCTGCGCACTTAGCTCACATCAGTGTATTTCTTTTAAGTTCCTCTTCTCCCTCTTTCTTGATCTAGTTAGAATGGGCGTTTTCTTTTTTTTTTTTTTGCTTTGATAAATGTTCAATGATGATCTTGGACATCTCAAATACCCATATAGCTTCCCCGCCAAAAAAAAAAAAAAAACATATAGCTATACCCCCTAGCTCATGACGATAGTGTGTGAACATTCATTTCCATCGCTGGACGTTTTCATGCATTTTTATACTTTTTAAAGAAAACAAAATCATTGCATCAGGACACAATGAATTTCCGAAGTTTAAACAAAAGCGTCACAACTGCTGCATCTTGGTAATTTTGTCGGCCATCCATAACTTATATGTTTTATTCTCCTGTATAATTCCATCCGTCATTAGCTGCGCAGTATTCTTTCTTGTTTAGTTTGACATAGCTAAAAATGGAGTATATTCTATTGATATATAGTTCGTCTGATGAGGATAGAATATAACCGGCAGCAGCATGAATGAGCAAAGCATAGCGATAGTGAATGTATATATACTATTTACAATGAATTTGTAAATTACGTGAAATTAATTTAGTAAAAGTGGTTATAGTCCAAAGTGAAATCTACTTATTGTTTCTTCATAATATTTAATTACTAAACAGAATGCCTCATAACATGTTAAAGCACATCTTGCGCCTCCAATTTATAAGTATAGATCCTCGCGAAATACAACACAAACGTGAAAGCTCATATACACGAGCCACACTTATTCATATAAACATACATACACATCCTACTTCTACGACCACCTTCATTAATGAAAGTTATAACGGATGCCTTACTGATTGATGAGTACTTCACTTATCATCGAAAAAATAATTCTATAAATACAAGTACATGTCTCAAGTCTAAAACTTAAACCCATGTGAACAAATTTCACCACAAGAAATCTAATAAGACGAGCCATCACATCCTTTTCCATATTTGAATTAGACACGGACACTTTGACTATAAATTCTACTATAACATATTCGCAAAACACAACAATAAATCTTAAAGCTTAGTATTCCTTCATTTTATTGCAAATATAATAGCCTGCAAATTCTCACAAGGAAGAAAAAACATACTACCTAGATAAGGACATGGTGCTCAGGTGCTAGGAATAGTTTACTGGGCTATTTTCAGGATAGTTGGTCATAAATTTGGCAACTTGCCGAACTGACGTGTTCCAACGCCAATTGAAATGTTGCTTGCTTCGACTGGTCGGTCCATCCATCAAGTTTGTTTGTGCCGTCTAAGAATGATGGGACGTCAAAGATATCCACAGCATGATTCGACATCAAAATGGCTCTCACGTTCTCAGGAGCTGATTTTGGTAGCTTGACGCATGCAAGTTGTAATATCAAGCGTTTCAACGTGGACTCAAAGCTCTAGGCTCACTTGAGCCAGGCGAAGCCTGGAAATAAAAGCCCACAAAGAGCTAGTACAAATTAAGGTTGGTCAAAAGTTCACATTAGGTCCCTCAAATATGGGTTGAGTTCCATTTCATATCACTCAATTACAAAACCATGTATAAAGTATCCCCTAACTTCTAAAACTAATGTAAATTACATCATTCGGAAGTATTGTGGATGTTATTAAATGACTTGACTTGGTTTTCATCTCACATGGCGCATACGTTGCACTAGATGAAAAATAATAAAAAAATATCAGTTGGACCCATATGTCCAGTGGGTGACCAGCTAGAAAAAGTATAACAATTATGTGGAGTCCACATATCATCACCGACCTTCCTCGTGCTGAACGCCACATCGCTTGCTTCCCCTTCACTCCCACTATTTCCACTCATCGCCAGAGAGCGACAATCTTTGTATCCCGAACACGAACCCTACTCCCATCTCCATGACTCCTACGAACCCTAGCCTGCTCCTCCCCGTGCCCCAACCATTCCCTCCCCATCCACTACTGTTCCCGCCAGCAGCTATCAGCATCACTATCCACCGGCATAACCTCTATGCTAGACTGATTCCAACCTAGAGCACCGCCTGATGTGAATCTATCAACATCTAGCGGCCGCATCATTGCCCGAGATCCCTGCATGCACGTCAGGGCCAAGGAGGGTGCATAGGAGAAGAAGGGGAAGGGGAGGAGGACATGGTTTAGACAGGTGGTCAGGGGACAAGGAGAGCTACCTTGTCGACAACGTGGAGCCACTGCCGATACTGTTGACCGTTCTGGAGACCAAGCCAATATTGCGCAAGGAGCTTGACGGCCACCTCAGCTTAGTGTGCAGGTGGTAGAGAAGATGGGGGAGAGATAGAAGGTCGGTGATGATATATTGGCCCAAGATATTTGTTGGCTATCACCTGATATATGGGTCACACTATTGTTTTCATTTATTATTTTTCTTCTAGTGCCACATAAGCATTATATGGGATGAAGACCAAATCAAACAACATATGTAGGCGCTACGTCGGTTAAAATCGCCTACAATACTATCGTGGGACACAATTTGCACGATTTTAGAAGTTCGGGGCCGGGTCACTATATACCCGACACTACTAAAATAAAGTTTTTCCAAAAAGCTAAAGTGTATTTTCGTAGGCGGGGGTATATATAGCAACTGCTTGCTCCAAGGTGTATGTGAAAATAGGAATTTTTGCGGGCAGCAGCACAACCTCGTGCGAAAAGGGATTTTCCCAAGTGAGCACGTTATGTCGTTTGCCTGCAAAAGGAATTTTTGAAAAAAAAATCAAAATTCCAAAAAACAAAGATTCCAAAAACCTAGAATAAAAAGGGATGGATGCCGCTCCTGTGCTCTGCGGCCGTCGTCACCACACTGCTCCCATTCCCGATGACCGTCATCACTGTCATCACCGACGCCCTTCCCGGCCTCCCCCCGCTAACAGACCCTCACACGAGGAAGTGGAGAGACGATAGGATCCACGTGGGTAGGGGAGAGCCCACTAGATCTGTCCCTCCCGTTGTCGCTACTGCTAGATCCATATGCGAGGGAGGTGGGAGACGTTCCATGCATGAGGGAGGGGGAGACGGTGGGATCCAAACCAGAGGGGGAGAGCCATGCCGGATCTGCCCCTCCCATTGCCGCCACCATTGAATCTATGCATGAGGGAGGGGAGGGAGAGGTGGTAGGATCCGCGTGGAGGAGAGCCCGGCCTGCTAGATCCATGTGTGAGGGTGGGGGAGGCGGCGGGATCCGCATAGGAGGAGAGCCTGCCGTATCTGTCCCTCCTGTCATTGCCGCTGGCGGATCTGACTAGCTCTCCCACTGCTG